CTCCCGGGGGCTGCACTGGGGGGGCGCGCAGGCGGTGGCCCGTTGGAAGGGTTTCTTGAGGTTGTAGCGGGCTGCGCGGGGGAGCAGAGCAGCAGCAGCAGCAAGGAAGGGGGCTTACTGAGCTCCGTTTTCCACAGAGCAGGAGAAAATTCTCATCTCACACCCCAGAAGCGTACCCAGGGAACCGTGTTCAGGTGCTAGCTTCAGACATGTTGTGCTTAATTAACACACAGATAAGGGAGTTGGTCTGAATGGTGTACCGAAATTGGTTTGTTTTATGAGTTTACAACATATAAGACTATATAGTTTGAATTTGTCTTCCTAAAATGTTAAAAGAAAGCATTCATTAGCTCTTACATTGCATTGTTGCCTGCAGTGTGACTTCAGACTGGGAGGTGTTAGCTTCCTAAAGAATGTTTGCTCTATGAATTAACTTCTTGGTATATGACTGCTTTTTATTTCTCGTAACTTTTTCAGTAGTATAGTTGTGTAAACATTAAAAGCAACTTCAGTCTTCAGAATCAGCATTGTATTTTAGCTAAAAAGTAGCACAAAAGATAATGTGGCACTCATATGCCTGAGAAAGCTCCTGTAAGAAAGTCTAGTTTTCCTCACCAAAAATAGAGGACACATAGAAACCTTCAGAAGCAGTGTTTGACACCTTTCTTTAACTAGCATGGCTGACCACTTCATATGCAATTCCCGCCTATATACTGATAATAAAATAAATTGTTCTGGTTTACCTTCTTATGCTGGGTAATATCCAGCATTTGGAGGGGTGTCAGTGCAGCCAGGAGCTACTCTTCCTCTTTTCTTAAGGGAGGTTCAAAGGCAATCTCTTCCCATCCGTGGCAACAAACTAAAGGAGTTTAAATAGTCTCTGGGGTCACAAGGCGAGTACCCTCCTTTTGATTTGCCAGAGAACTACCCTGAGAAGCTTTTGCATGTAATTGGGCTTGTCAAGAAACTGAGGGAAGAATTGTGGGAGATGGGTGTGTGCTCTTCCTCAGCTGGTGAGGCTGGGTAGTGAGTGATCTTGCCTCTTGCAGGAGCAAGTTACCCACCTCGTCTGTGTCTGCTTGTGCAGCCTCTCTTGTGCTTTTGGGCCTGCTGGGTCAAGAGGGGTACTGTTACACAGCTGTTGTGGTCACAACAGGACAGTTTGTTAAACACGAAAGGTAAATCTGAGGAGATCCATCTCCAAGGAGGAGTTTCAAAACATATTTTGTAGTCAAGGAGGTTGTTGACCATTAGCACAGGTCACTCTGTACAACAAAGACCTGTTTATAGTGTGAGTTCAGAATGTTCTCAAAAGGACGCTTTGCTTTGTTTCTGGTTACTGGTGCTTGCTGAGACTAGAAACAATAGATCCGAAGTCTGTGGCCAGCTCTGCATTCAGGAGGAAGCATTTAATGCTCAGCCAGTTGCTGAGGATGTTGATTTTTATCACTGCAGTTTTCAGAACTTTGGTGATTCAAGAGACCAGAGGGACTGCAGACAGGTTCAAGCTCAGGGCAGATGGCTACAGAAGTAACTATTTTAGTGAGAAGCTGAACACTTGCTTCCAGTCTTCAAATTTAGCCGTATGGAGTCTTGAGAGCAATTTAAATTGAAAGAACTCTTTTCAGTCCTCTGATTTTTATTTTTTTTTTATTACTTTAAGTGGTGTTCTTTTTATCTCCCCTGTCCACTTGCAAAATAATCAGAACACTTCAAATCTTCCTGTGGTCTTCAGTGCAGCTATTGAATTAATGGTAGTGACTGGAAATATGACTTATTTACATAATAGTTTAGGTACTGTAAAAGAAAAAGTAGTAATGTTGAGTTTACCCCTTTCAAGTTAATCCCTCTTAAGTCTTAATGTAGAACGAATTTTTAAGAGTTTCAAGTTTATAAACACAAGTTTCCAGTTAGTTTTTCTGAAGTGTGATATGTGGTGACAAGGTGTCTTGTGCTGACATGACTCTCATAGTTTATCTATCTGGGACTGAGGTCCCTGCAACTGTCTTTGCTGTATTTATAATGGGTTTGAACATGCCAGTGTTAAGCTTCCTGATGCTATTATAATAGCAGTTTAATATGTTAGGCAGGAAAATATGATGGTTCAACTTCAAAACTATCCTGGCCATAGGATTAGTGGCCATCAGAGCTGAGGAAAACCACAGAAGGGGTGAAAATGTGAAGCGGTACATAATTTTAATAAAAAGCACTCTGAATTTGGGCAGATTTCAGTTGGATATGTTCTGAGGATTGTTAGGTACTAATTCATAAAATGTTTCTCGTTTCAGGTGCGGGTTGTTCTCAAATATCGACATTGTGATGGGAACCTCTGTATCAAAGTAACAGATGATGTAGCTGTAAGTACAGAATATATTCCCCTTTCAGGGCTTATTGTACTTTTTGGGGACTGCTGTGAGTCAGCTTGTGAGCTCTTAGCCATTGCCTTGAGGGTGCCTGACAGCTTCGTTAAAACTTGTGCTCAGCCTTCCCTGGCTGCTCTGTCTGTAACTGACATTGACCTCCGGTTCAACTCTGCAGAGTCTGGGAAAAGTTCTAACACTTTAGTGTTCTTTATGGATCTCAACACAATTATTTTAGGCTTCTGTGAAAACAAGCACTACAAAAATCTTGGATTCTCTCCCTGTCTGAAAATGCTTCATGGAAGGACATTAAAATGCTTTAGCAGAAGCTACGGGGAGCATCTTCACACAGATGTGTTTACTGGTGTGAGTGTAGTCCTTTTTATTTGCTCAGAGTGGTGACAGCTTCCAACCGTAGGTTAAGCTCCTCCTTTGTGTTATGACATGGTGGAGTGATTATGAGACTGAACAACAAGATTCACTTGCAGTTAAGAGATCCCATTTTCTGAAATCTGTTACAGTGTCAGTTATGCATTCAGTAAAAACTGTGGAACATACAACATGGAATTCTGCAGTGTCCTTCCAAGGGTCGCTGTGCAAGGAGGTGGAGCACCTGTGCTTACTGGTTGCTGTTGTTCTAAATAGTCTGGAAGGGTTATTAGAAGTATGTGAGGGGCTAGGATGCAAGACGGTGGGCAGCAGGTAGAAATGTGTCAGTGTGTGCATGCTGATGTGCACACCAGCAACAGGTTCTTGGTGCTAGCGATGTTACAGCCAAGTTACTGTTGTTCTGCAGTGCAGAGTAAGCAACAGTAGTCTGCCCTGCTCTTATCTTCAGACTTGGAAAAAAAATCAGATTTCTTCTTTCCAGGAAAAGTAGCCTGAGCTTGGTATTTCAAATACCTGGGTCTTAGTGTGGGGTAAAATGTTGAGTGTGGGGCACTGATAACAGGGGAAAGTGAAGGGCAATTACACTGAAATCTTCCAAAGGGGAAGGTTTGAGTCAGGACATAACTGAAAACAGTCCAAGTTCATTAATAGGAATTGTTACCTGCTTCCAGTCATGGAAAGCTGTTACACTGCTGGTGGGACAGGGGGTTGGTTTGCTTTTGTGGTTTTGTTTTGTTTTTCCTAAGGCAGGAGGGGAAGTTTTCCTTGCTGCTAATAGAACTAATATAGCTGGAGGAAAAAATAAACTGTTTTTTCTACTGTTTGTCTTCAATTTAAAATAGGAATTTAACGCTGGCAAAAGTTGCTGTGTTGACAACACTGAAAAATGAAGCGTTCTGGGGTTTTTCCATTGTTAAATAAGCCTGGGCAGTCTTTCTTGGGCTGTACAGGTATAAGAAATTACTTAGTCTGCAAAAAAACTAAGCAGTGTTTCTTTGATAAATCACTGGCATATTACTCCTGTTCCTTTTGCATTTACAGGCTTGTCACATAAAGGAGTTCCTTTTGATCTTAATCAGATATTATGTTCCTTATTTAGGACTCAGTGGGAAATACTGAACCAATTTTACATCACTGGCAGTGTAACATGAAGGACTATGAAAGGCAAAATAAACTTGCTTTCAGAGTACAGACAACAGGAAAGTAGTTTTGGGTTTAATACTGCTTCTATTTTTAGACAACACAAACAAAGGTGCCTTTTAAAGACAGCTTTAAAACCCAAGTTTTAGTACCTTTTCTGAGAGAGAAGAAACAATCATGAGCTTATCTATTTTCAAAATAGAGACGAATGAGCCTTTCAGAGAAACTTGAATGTAAACACAGATGCGCGTGTGTTTTAAAACGGGGTAGATACATGTTGGTGCTGCCTCATGGTAACAACATGCCACAAATGAATACTTAAGTACTTAGCCTTGTTTTTTGTGTTTCAAACACAAATTTCTTGCAACTATAAACAGGATAAAAACAGTTCAAGTGAAATCTGATATTAAGCAACTTTCTCTTACAGTGTTTGCTGTATAGAACAGACCAGGCGCAAGATGTAAAGAAGATCGAGAAATTCCACAGTCAGCTAATGCGACTCATGGTGGCTAAGGAATCCCGCAGTGCTGCCATGGAAACAGACTGAATTGCTGAAAATAAAATGAGTGCTCCGGTCATATTTCACTGGAAGAAAATATCTCTTGGATTTGAATGAATACTGGGACAGGAGATGCTTTTATGTACCAAAGTGGACTGATGACAAGTCTGAAGCATTTTCCCCCTCCCAGACTCTGCTTTGGAAAACTAGGAAAATAAATGCTTTCAATTGAAAGCTTATATTTATTTTTGGGAATTGAACAAGAAACTATTCTTACGCATTGGGTTGCTAAGAAGACAAGCAAATATTTTAAATCTACAGTACTTTAGTCTGAATTTGATGGGCCACAAGCATATTTCTGGAAAGTTACTATAGAATTTCGTATAGATTTCATTGTGTTCATACCTTATGCTGGTGTATTCTCACAGTGAGAAGGTTTATTAACCTGACTAATACTGTAGCATGATGACTGGATCTAATAAATATTTACGTAAATGATATACATCAGTGGGGCTTAGAAGAATGGATGTTTTCTGAATGGAAATGTTAAAATTGCCAATTTGTATTAGCACTGTCACTAGCAAGATTTTTAGCCTTTAGTATTGATTTTGGTCATAAGCTCTGCAACATTATCTATGATGCATTTTCTAGAACTGTTATGTTGGCTAAATAATTAAACTTCTGTATTGTAAAACTTAAAGCTTTGCTTAAATATTGCTCTAGATCAGTGAGAAGCTGGGAGTTTCTTTTCTGCTTAGGCAAATACTGTTATTAAAAAATAGTCAGTGGCTTTTTTCCATACTTGAACTATTTTATACTAGCAGGGAGACCTTTTCCCATCCTTGCTTCAGGCAGAGTTGAAGTACATCAGCAAGACAGATTCTAGAAGCTCTTGCCTATTATGTTAATAGAAAAAAAAAAAAGGCAACCAAACACTATCCAGATTCCTTATTTTATCAGCTTGCTAACTGTGCATTTTCAAATGTTACATGTGGCAGATGGATGTCAGCCAACTGAATAAATGGATGAAAACCAGCTTAATAAATACTTAAATACCACTGTCAAAAATAGACCAGTGCTCCTGTGGCTTAGACTTATTTCTTATTGTTACCTCTGGTAGGGTGATAGAAGCCTTAATTGTCTTTTGCAAAGGTTTTTTGCTTGGAAACCCAGCAGCTGAAATTGATACTTGCTCTGACTAGATCTTGCATACTTAAAACCAGGTAAATATTTTAATGTAAGTATGCTATTGGTATAACTAGGCTTTTCCAGGACTAATGTTTTGGGTTATACTAAGCCATGAAAGTAAAACAGAGCCATACAAAGACTTGTCTGTAGTGACAGTTATATATAACAAAGCAATCTACTTAAATAGCTACCTGCTGTCACTTACATGAAAATAATTGAGGTACTTGGAAGCAGTGGAGTTCCCACATTTGCCAAGGGCTCAGAAAAAAGCCCAGGCTTGAATACTGCATTAGAGTACCCTTTCAGCTGAACGTATGATGTTGCATATTGTTGGGAAATACTGCAGTGCTAAATTCCCAGTGACTACTCAAATTGTAGTCTAGAGGAGTGACTGGTATGTACGTAACATTTTTCTTTTTGTATTGGCTTTTGAAATACAAATAAATCCAGAAAGAATGATAACCTTTGTTCATAGTTTAAGATACTGTAATGCTGACAATTTTCCTTCATGGTGCAAATTATTTTCTTAATATCTGCAATATAGTATATTAAGTAGTTAAACCATTTTTGTCTAAAGTGGTGTTCTGCAGTATGAATGACTACACAGTCATACAAGCAAAGATTAAGCTGTTAAATTGGCAGGTGAAAAGGCTGCAGCTATTTTAGTGTAATTTTTGGACATCTCTTGTAAATTAGTTTGGCATGTACATGTCTTCTGTGAACTGAGGTACAGAAAGGCTTGAGTGGTATTTGCTTGTGCACAGAGGATAAAAGTAAATAGAGAAATCTGTAGACAGACTTGGTGTGCCAAGTGGCTGAAAGGCTTAAGCTACGTACTTAAGCAGGTTTTAGATGGGGGCACTGTTGTCTAGTGGAGGGGGCAATTACAGTACTATATATTAGAGCAGCAGTTGTCAAGCAAAAGACAGAAATGGATTTCTTGTTTTCTAAACTCAGAAACTATTTCTGTAAAACCATAAGGAAATATTAACGCTACTTTTGTAAGAGTATGTGGTGTTAAGCTTGTTCTCCATATACCCACAGAAAAATTTGTGATGCTGTGTAGTAGTAATACCCAAGAATACTGATGAAGCTACTGCTTAAAAAAAAAAAAAAAAGCTTTTGGAAACTCCTTTAGAAAAAGAGACAGGAGCTTCTTGACTTTGTCCTGGAATTTTCAGCAACTTCAATACTGTGTTCATGGCGGGGTAGAAAAGCTCTGAATTCAAAGCTCTGCTTTTTTTTGTGCTTATACTCTTGTTGAGAGTGTGCATGTGCGCATATGTACACTGATCACTTTCCTAATAAACTTTCAATGAGTTCTCTCTTATGGGCAACTACATCACTTCTGTTTTCCTTCAGGGGTTTTAACCCTGAGCCTCTCTGTACTTAGTCCATTCTGTAAGTGTATTCTGGATTACAGGAAGATCCTTAAATTTTCTGTAGAAGTGAGAATTTTGGTCACAGGTCTTTGTTTTAGAGATCCTTGTGAAAGAGGCCTTTGTTTTCACTAAAGTCCTGAGCTAACACTTTTAAGAGTGATGGATTTATTCTGGAAAATTGGATGCTTTGGTGCCTGAGTCTGTCAAAATGGGAAATGGAACTGAAGCCAAGCAGGTGCTTTTAAAAATGTTTTAACTTGTCCAAATAATTATATTTCATCTCTGCAAGTTCCTTCCTGCAGTATAAAAGTGGGTAATCAACATTTTGCTTTAATAAAAGTGAAGAAACCCTGGTTTCTGCCAGATGTGGTCAGTAAGACTTAGACAATCATTTATTACCATAGGTTGGCTTTAAAGGATTATGTCATCTGGAAGGTGCGTTAGCAGCCCTCTTGCTATACACACAGCAAATCCTCTCACTTCATTCATCTTAAATAGGCACCTGTGCCTTTTTAACTTCTGTTACTGGCTTAGGGGAGATAAAATTATAACACAGAAATGATGCTGTAACCACATTTTAAATTTAAGTTTGAGATCTAAAGTGGAAAAATGGCTGTATAGCAAATAGGTGGTTTTTTCCTGTATAACTTACTCTCATCTAGACTGCAGATTCAGCACAAGCCCTATTTCCTTTGAGAGTCTGTGAGCATTAGTGGGTGACCTTAGGAAGCACAAGCTTAGCTGAAAACAATATTCTTTGCGCAATGCTCTGTGCTGAGGTAACTTTTAAATCTAATTGACTGAAACAAAGCTGTTTTGATCAAGCATATTTAAGGAGTCTTCTTGTGAAGATCGTTTAAGAAAGGTATCTGGTTTTTTGGGTTTTTTTAAGGAAACTAGTCAATGAAGAACTATGTCTAGCTTTTGCTTAAGTTAATAGTGATTTGCTTTTCAGGACATGGGGGTGTCTATTCTGAAAAGCTGATACCACTTTAAAGGTAGATGCTGCATGACTCAACACAACTGTTTGTTTATAAAGATTTTATCTTTTACAGAAGCTTTTGAGAGTTCAAGGACTGGTATTTAAATACAGGCAAGAGTTGGATTGTCTTTGTTGCTGGGGATGACATAAAAACATGCCTTTCATCTGTTGTTACTTTTACAGTAAATAGACTCTTTATTCTGAATTCCAGATAAACCTCCCCACCTTTATACTAGGCTGAATTATCTCATTTGAATTAACGCACTGAAGGTAGATGTGGGCTTTTTAGTCTGTAGAAATGTTATTTTTGAGATGACAGTGATGCCACAGTATTTTAGAAGCAGATCAGTTACTCAACAGAATACAAAGCATTGTAATTTGCTAACCCCTGCTTATTATACAAGTTGTGTAACTGTTATGACAGACTAAATGCTCTGAGGAGAATTTGGGCTTAAACTGGACCATGTAAAACTAGAGTCTGTGGGAACCGAGACAATATAAAAACATGGTCACAGTGTGATAGTGTTAACTGCTTTCATGCAAGTACAGGCCCTATTGTTGAATGTAGTCTTTGTTTCTGGTGAAGGTACGTGCTTATTTTCTTATACTGTGCCAAAGTTAGTTATAGGTGTGTGTTCTCACAGTCCAATAACGAGAACACAATTACTTTCTACCATTCTAAAAACACCTTAAGTCAATAGTGCCACCTCTGAGTGCTCTTACGTGAAAATGCCCAGTCTTTAGCAAGAACCAGTGTGCTCAACCCATTAGTACTCCCCATACAGACAGTTCCTAGGTGCTGTGTTAATATTACAAAACAAAGACTACAGTGTTTCTCTTACACTGTAGTGTTGGTATTTATGAAAGTGTCTTCTATTAAATCAAGACCAGCCCTGAGGATATTTTTGCTTTGCTTTTGTAGCAAGTTTTGATTTTGTGTGCACATTCTTCTGTCCCCTTTTTTGTGATGATTCTTGGTCATTTTGTTAGAACTTAAAAACATCAGTGATATTGAGAGGTCTGGGAGAGGTTGGGTTTTTTATTTCCTTTGAAGTTGTGTTTGCATGCTGGATTCACTTTTTGTCTAGAAGAAGTGGAATCTGTTCACAAAAGGACTAATCTGCATTGTTCTGCTTCTACTGAGCAGAATCTTCCTGAGTATAGGCATGTGTTTACAGCAGGATTTAAAAAACTGGTTTCTTGGAGAGGGGGTTGAGTTTTCTAGATACCTACTGAATGTCTTTTGCTGGCTGCTAGCTGGCAAATGAGAATTTGCTGTTCACATTGGCTGGCAAAAAAATGTATTTTAAGTGGGTTGCTCATGCATGTAAATACAGCCATTTATAATACAGTTCTGCTACCATTATGTGGCTACAAGATGAAAGGCTTGCCTCGGGGCACTGACAAATGAGCTCTGGCAAACTGTGTGTGTGTGGCTTAAAGATGCTACCTCCCAAAGGCATCTGCTCCTTTAAGGAGTCGGCAGGCAGGAGGAT